ATGGCCAAAGAGGGAAACATTCGCGGCTTGTGTTTAGAATTCAGGATTGCGCGTGCATCATAATTATAAGCGAACGCAATATTCAAATTAAGTATGCGGGGTCCCTCGGTCGTGTATTTTTAATTGTCCTGCGTCTAGTTGTCGTTTTGGGTCGATTCCTCCTCTCCTCTGCCCACCTCCCCGTGTCTCCTCCTGCGCTGCTCTGTGGGTGGCTGTGGACTGCGCAACTTTCGCCACTTTCGTGGGCTCCTGGGATGTCCATCGGAGTCGCGGGGCGCGCGCGCCCAGACGGGAACCTCGCTGCCCCCTGTGCGGCCGCGAGCTGCGCAACCTCCACTTTCGAGGGCTCTTGGGATGTCCAGCAGGGTCGGGGGGCACGCGCACCCATTTGAGACATTGGTGCTCCCTGGGAGGCTGCGAACCGCGCAAGTGTCACCAGTTTCGTGGGCTCCCGGGAGGTCCAGCGGAGCCGGTGGGCACGCGCACCCAGACGGGAACTTCGGTGTTCCGTGGGAGGCTGCGAACTGCGCAACGGTCGATACTTTCATGGGGTCGTGGGAATCCACCGGGGTCAGGGGCCACGCGCACCGATTCGAGACCTCGCTGCTCGTTGGGAGGCTGCGAGCAGCGAGCCGTCGCCACTTTATAGGTCTCGTGGGAGGTCCAGCGGGGTCGGGGGCCACGCGCGCCCATTTGAGACTTCGCTGCTCCCTGGGAGGTTGCGAACAGCGAGGCGTCGCCACTTTATCGGTGTCCTGGGAGGCCCAGCGGTGTGGAGGGTACGCTCGCCAAGTTGAGACTTCGCTGCTCCGTGAGGGGGCTGCGAGCTGCGACGTTGTCGTTAGTTTTGTGGGCTTCTCGGATTCTAGCGGAGCCGAGCGCCACGCAGACAAAGCCGATCGCGGCTCCTAGGGAGGTTGCGAAGTTAGTTCGCGGCTCCCTCGGGGGCTGCGAATCGCACATTTGTTGCTATTTTCGTTAGCTCCCGGGAGGCACGGCGGAGGTGAGGGCAGCGCAAATCCATTTGAGACCTCGCGGTCCCTTGGGGCTCCTTGCGCAGTTGTCGCTACTGTCGTGAGCTCCTCAAAGCCAAGGTGGAGGTGAGGGCAGCGCAGATCGTGGATAACAGGCGATGTGTTTTTTTTGTTGATGGCGCGTTCATGCAAGTGTTCGCCACGCGTGCAAAAGGGGTTGGGCACGTCTCGGGTGTTTCTTTCATGCCCCGAAAGGGGGCTTTTCAATAGTTCGTCTAATCGCAGCCTGTGGCAACCCCATTGGTGACCGCGCATGTGTGTTTTCCCTAAAGGCTCGTCTTGGAAAGGGTCCTATACAATGTTTCCAAGAAGCAGTGCGCAGGGATCGTTGGACCTGGAATCGTTGAGGCGCCATTGTCTTACGTTGTCATCCGTTCTCCCTTCGATCTCCAAAGGTCTTCCGTTGTCTCTCGTTTTCTCGCGTTGTTTTCCGTGGTCGCCCGTTTTTTTGCGTTGTCTTGCTCATATTTTACACTTGCGTTTCGCGCAAGTGTGACACATTTACTTTCGATCCGTACTTACTTGCACTCGTACTATCGTGTCCTACGCGTACTTGTACTTTTCCCTAACTTTGCCCAAATCGAAGATCTCCCGGTCTAGCCGGCCTCGAATCTCATGAGTCTGGGGGGCCTCCTTTGGGACCCTCGGCCGCTGGCCTGAGGACACTCCAACTCGTGCCTCAGGGCACAGCGGCGGATTTGGTCAGTATTCGTATTAGTAGTAAGCAACCAGTTAGTAATCGGCATAGCGTGTGTATTAATACTAGTATTAATATTATTCACGCTTCGCGTATCCCCACGAGCGTCGGTAGCCTGGCTCAAGCCTTTTTGGCTCAAGGCAAATCCCACTGAAGCGGCCCGAGTCCAAGGCAGCTACAGCGCTCGGCCGAAGTATGCTTGATGAACGTGTTTGGCTCTGCAGTTCCAATGTTCTCGCAGTCGTTGCCATTGCCTGGCGGGCGCGCGCTTCTTGTCGAGATTTCCAGTTACCACGAGTGAGCTCGATGTTTTCGTCTTTCCATGCCACGATGACGCGGGTACTCTACATGACACCAGCGCACCCGTTGCACCGTCATTTGAAGGTTATGGCAGGCAAGCGACTGCACGAGCAACTTGTTTGGGGGTGCCCCTGGACTCTGTTTGCAGCCGTCTGTTACAATTTCATTCAGTTGTATCAAGACGATACGTCCCAGCTCACGCACTACATGAACTTAGCAATCGGAACCTTTGCTATGCTGGGCGCCGTCAGACCGGATTGGATGACCCCGAAAGTCTTTCTCTGTTTCCATTTTTGTGTCTATGTCACTTTCATCATTATTGCGATCAATACCACATCCAGAATTGAGCTCTTGAATGCGAGCCGCGTGAGAATAACCTCATGCCCGTGAGAATAAACACTAGGGGATAATAAAGTTCGGGGTTCAGGGAGAGATAATAAAAGTAGCCCAGCAGACCTCAGCATAATCTCGAAGTAAGAGATGATCAAGAGGAGACCAAGCCGAGCACGTTTTGACCCGAGCACGTTCGGGAGGAATGGAGGAAGCTATATATAAAAAAGAAAATAAAAAAAATAATTAATAAAATAAAAGAAATGATAGGAGGAGGAGAAGGAGGAAAAGCAGAAAAAATCTCGAGTTTCAAATCTATTAGATTTTATTTACAAGCGCTTTATGAACATTGTTTTTGTAAGTGCTCGTGTAGGGTAGCTCATGTGCCTCAATTTCCATGGATAATCAACCCCAGAGATAAAAAAGTTCAGGCGAGCGTGGGGACAGAGAGAAATATAGAAGAAGAAGAATACAGTAGAAGAATACTAAGAAAGAAGAAGAATAGGAGAATAAGAAGAGGACGAAGAAAGGAAAAATCCAAAGTTCCAAATCTATCAATTTTAATGTACAAACGCTTTATGAACATTGATTTTTTAAAGTGCTCGTGTAGGGTAGCTCATGTGCTTCATTTTCCATGGATAATGAACCCCAGGGATAAAAAAGTTCAGGCGAGAGTGAGGACATATAGAAATATAAAATTGCTGGTTTCGCTTGAGACATCCTTGAAACATTGCTCGTTTCGTTTGAGTCTGCCTCCCAAAATTATTGGTTTCGCTTGACACATCCTGAAAAAGTGTGATCGCTTCGCTTGATGTTGCTATATCAACATCGCTTGATGTTGCTATCTCAACATAGCGTTTCGAGGTGATAATGAAGTTCGGCCTCAGCGCTCGCCGCCCAATTTGAATTTTGTATAGGGCGACGATAATCAACTCTAAACACTGAAGGGGGGGGGTCCCTTTATTATCATCGGCATGCGGTTATGTTTCCGTTCCATGTTCAGTTTAATATATGCAAAGCCCATGGTGTCCTTGTGTTTTGGCAGTGTGTACGTCGCAGTTGTCTCAGCTTATGCTCCGTGGCATGACCCTGTAGACGTACGTCAGGAATTGCTTGTCACATTGTTTGTTAGCATCTCAGCAGCCGTCGTCGCATGGTCCCGCGATTTAGAGTTTTTGGCAATTCTGGAGGCCAAGGCGTCACGACAGTTCGAGTCTACAGCGGACGGGCTGCTGTCAAGTGTGTGCGATGCAGTGGTACATCTCTCGAAAGAGTTTCAGCTCTCAAAGCCTTGCGCACCCCTTGCCGCTCTGCTCCTGATATCATCCAGCGATGTGGCGGCGGGAGTCCACTTTTTCAATCTAGCGTTTGATGCCACTGAGAGAGAGCGTCTGACTCGTTTCTTGGAGCGGCCCATATCCGAGACCTACAGCCTCCACATGTCCTTTAGGGATTCATGGGGCATGCCGGTAAAAGTTGAGCTCTTTCACGCCCGGGGCGTTGACATACACGACGAGTTGATCCACATCGTGGGTGTGCAGGAAGATTCGGAAGAGCCGCGGGCGGCGCGTCCAGGGGTGTTATGCTGCAGCCCAGAGTCACAGAATTCAAGCGCTTTCGCAGGCATCCCAGAGAGTTGTATCAGTATCTCGACGTCTGATTCCTCTGGTCTGCTGATCGACCCCCCGTGCACTGAGATGGCTGTTCTCATTGACGCAGAGAGTTCTGGTATGCCCGTGCTGCGGTGCTCACCCGATTTCTTGAGTTTGTGTGGACCCATCTGCGAGGGCCCAAAGCTGCTGCAGTGGGTCATTAATCGTGCCGACTTTATGGGTTGGGCGGACACGGCCTACAACGATCTGCTTGATGCTCGTGATGCAGACCTTGTGCAGGGTGATGTTCTGGATGCACAGCCATTTCGTATCCGCCTCAAGCTGCCTCACATGGGCCCGAGAGTCCTCGAAGTATCGGCGAACGCAAAGTTCAAATTTCCATCATTCGAAGACCCACCAGAGGGTGACGATGGCGGAGCGGCCATTGCTCAAGGGATCTTGTTGATGCTGGAGGACGTCGTCTTCGTCCGCAGGGGACGTCGGGCACCGAGGCTTTCATTGTGATTTGTTGCATGTGTGACGTGAAAACACAAGATTGCACCAATCCCCGCGTCTCAGGCGACTGGGCTCACCCCCAGCGCCTTGGACTGTGTTGGGTCCTCTCCTCCTCCTCCTCCTCCTCCTCCTCCTCCTCCTCCTCCTCCTCCTCCCGCCCTTCATTCACAAGTATCTGCGGCTCTTTTCTGCCCCTCCTCTCGCCGTGTCTTCCACCCGCCCATGCGCGGGCAGCTACTGAGCATTTTGATGTTTTTCGTGTTTACGCGAGTGATGATCCCTTCTGCTGTCGTCTTCGTCGTTCGTCGTCGTCGTCCGTCGTTCGTCTCTTCCGCTCCTCTCGCCTTTCCCGCTCCTCCTCCGCCGCCGGCGTCTCCTCCTCCCCTCGGGGGGCCATTCCTTGCGGTGGGTTGGTGAACGGTGCGCGCCCTGCTCCCGCTTGCGGAAGCTGGGGCGTGCGCCGATCGCCTCTCGCTGCTTTGCGTGGCCCCCTGCTCGCCCTTGTGCCCCCCGGGGCCTCCCCCGTCGTTGCTGCTTGCTGATGGATCGACGCTAGCTATCCACAGGGCAGGAGAATCAGCTCCCTCCTGCGCCTGCTCTCGTTGCAGTCTTCATGCAGTGGGGCCGCAGACCAGGGAGGCGAGCCAGGGCCCGGGCGGCCCAGGCGGAGAAGGAGAGGTAAAAGGAGGGTGGACGTGAGCCAGCAGGGGAGCGAGCAGCAGCAGGAGGGGAGCAGCCGCAGGAGGGGGGCGGCAGGGACCGATGCACCGGATGGAAGCGCGCCGCTGCACGCTGCGGCTGGCGAAGGGCCAGATCGGCCCGGCGAAGAAGCCGGCCAACCCTTGCAGCTGCACGGCGCAGGGTGGCCCAGCTGGCCCCCTGGTGCCGTCTTTGGGGCTCCTGATGGGGGAGCTCACAGAAAGGACGTACGCGTGAACACGGCCCCTTGACCCGCGAGACCGGCCGCGTGATACGAACCATCGCGCAATGCGAACTCTCGTAACCAGTGTGGATTCATGTGCGTGTAGGTCCTTTTTTCGCTCCTGACCGATGGGCCCCCGAGTGCACGGGCGCGTGCCGGCAGGAGCAGAAAGGGGTCGAATGCGGGTGAGGTCACGGGCGCCGAGGCTGGAGATCCCTGTGGTCAAATCGGGCATGTCTTCCTACAGGGGGATGTTGGAAGGATAAACAATATAAATACTCAAAACACGCCCCCGAATGGTCAAACAAATACCCAACAAATCATCCCCATACTAATCCCACCAGCCCTCTGGGCTTAGGTGGTCTAGCGCGTTGTTTTCTTCTCTCTACCCCTCCCCCTTCCCCTCCCCTGGGCCTGGGAGGGGGGGGGGACGGAGGCGCCGCAGCGTCCAAGATGGCCCAAGAAGGCTCCAAGAGGGCTTCGAAATCGCAAGATGGCCTCCAAGATGGCCCATGCTACTTCAAGGTGGGTCAAGATAGCCTCCGACATACCCCCAAGAGGCCCCAAGACAGACCCAAGACGGATCCAAGTGCCCTCCGAGCCTTCCACGGCGCCCTCCAAGATGCCAAAACCCTTCAAAAGCATAAGGAAAAACAATGTTTTTGGCATTAACGCCTTTTCCCTTCCGATGGGCTGTGGAAGCCTCAAGATGGTCCCATGATGGCCCAAAGGAGGCCCAACAGGGGCCCAAGAAGGCCGAAGACGGTCCCAAAATCGCCCAAGAGGCGCCCAAGAGGGCCCCAAGATGCCGTTTGAGAGCCTCCGAGGGGGCGATGCTAATTGAGGGACCTCCTCTTTTTGAGCCATGGGGCCCAAATTGACCCCAAGAGGCCTCCCAACCTCTCCCCAAAGACCCTCCGCTCCAAGAGAAACCCTAGATAGGCAAATATGGTTTTCAAAATGGCCCAATATAGCCAAGCATCGCACAATATAGCCTCCGACAGACCTCCAAGAAACCTCAAGACACCTCAAGATGGCCCAAGATAGCCGAGCATGGCTCCAGATAGCCTCCGACAGTCAATAGCCGAGCATGGCTCAAGATAGCCTCCAAAGGGGCCTCAAGAAAACTGGCAATCAATTCTGGATGGGCTGGTGGGGATACTTTTTTTTCCTCGCGGGCGCTAGCGGACGCGCAGGCGCCGAGTCGAAAGGTCTGGGCCACGGGCCGATCAAATTGGCTACGCGCGAGCCGAGAAGCACAGCGACCGAGCCCAGAATCAGAACCTATCGCCAGCTGGTGGGGATACTTTTTTAGTCGCGGCCGCGAGCGAAGAGCACACGCGGCGAAAGCAAATGTCCGGGGCTGCGAACAGGGCTGATTAGCTACAAGACGCGCCGCAAGCCGGCCGGCCCAGTCACCAAGCAGCCACGGGGCTGCGCGGGAAGCTGACGGCAGGGGGCATCCTGGGAAGCTCGGGCACGCGCAGCCTGACAAAATGCAGAGAAATTCGGTGCATGCCGTGAGGCATAACCCACACAGACGACATGACGTGCACGGGTGCCGACGTGTCCTTCATACTGGGTGGGAGCAGGCGCAAAGACCGATGGGCGAGTCGCCAGTGGGGCGCCAGGCCCAAGCCGTCCCAACGACGTGTGCTGGCAAGGGGAGCTGAGCTGCCGAGGAACGTCGCAAACCTGCCAGAAGAGGGGGATGAGTCCAGGGTGCCGTTGCGACTGCAGAAGGCTAAACCACTCCGGCGCAATCACAGTACCCAGAAGGCCATCATTCAGTGCCCAAGGTAGGCCTGGACGACCGTGGGCCGGCCCCGCCAACAACGGCACAGCTCCAACGCCAGATGGACTGTAAGAGAAAGCCAGGCAGGCGTGGTGAGCATCGCCAGCGAGGCAGGGGGATCCAGGGGGATGCTGCACTGGAGGCACGGCAGCTGCCGCCTGATGTACGCCGGAGGCCACCGTGGGACGGCCTTATCCTCCGAGTTCGCCGTTCCCCGCAGGGAACCAAGGGCTCCGTCGAATCCGTCATTCAACGCGAGCGCCCAGGGTCGCAGATAACCGCCACTGAGGGCGAGGTAAAGTTACCGCTGTCGGCGGGGGTACTGGGCGGCCGTACCTGCGAAGGCTGAACTACACGGAGCTGGCTGTACCTCCAGGGGCTGTGTGTGGCGTATGTTTTTTCCCCCGCGGTCAGCGGTGGCTAAAGACGGCGCGCTGTTCCTCACGCGGCACCGCGGCGCCGTCTCAGGGGGGCGAGGCGGGGGTCCCCCGGCCGCGCGGCGGGGGCAACAGTGGCCGCCCCTTCACGCGCGCGCGGAGCTGCAAGTCATCGTCGTCGGAGGGGACCGCTTGGTCTGATGGGTCGCAGGGGCCGGCTGCCGCTGCCCGCCCTCCTCGCATGCGAGGTTGATCATGGCGGGCTCCAGCTTTTACGCGAGCATCTCGCTCAGCATCGTCGCAGCCTGCTGCCACTGCCGAGGCCGCCTCTTCTCGCAGGCGCTGCTCGCAGTGCCGTAGGTGATGATGTCGGGCTTCAGCTTCGGCTCCGAAGTCTCGCCGGGCTGCGGCGGGGCCGGCTGCCACTGCAAGCGCTTCTCGCAATCGCTGATCGGGGCGCTGTGGCTCACCATATCCGGCTCCGTACGCGGAGCCAGAATTGTAAACCTGGTCATTGTCACGGTAGGCCCCCGCCACCACGCGGGCGCCGTCGGAGCTCACGGCCACCGAGCAACCGAAGCGGTCGAGGGCGGACAAATCACTCGCCTTGACAAGCTTGAGCAGCCTCTCGCCGGTGGCCCCGTCGAGCACGTACGCGGATCCGTCACCGCAGGCCCCCACCACCACTCGGGCCCCGTCGGAGCTCACGGCCACCGAATAACCGAAAAAGTGGTTTGTGTCCCCATCACTCGCCACAAGCTTGAGCAGCCTCTCGCCGGTGGTACCGTCGAGCACGTACGCGGAGCCACAACTGGGGCCCTGGTCGTCGTCACCGGAGGCCCCCACCACCACGCGGGCCCCGTCGGACTCACGGCCACCGAGATTCCGAAAGAGTCGCCTGTGGACCCATCACTCGCCACAAGCTTGCTGCTCGCCAGTGGTACCGTCGAGCACGTACGCGGAGCCAGAATCGAAGCCCTGGTCGTCGTCATGGGAGGCCCCCACCACCACGCGGGCCCCATCGGAGCTCACGGCCAACGAATTACCAAATTTGTCGTATTCGACCCCATCACTCGCCACAAGCTTGAGCAGCCTCTCGCCAGTGGTACCGTCGAGCACGTACGCGGAGTCAGACAGGGCACCCTGGTCATAGTAGTAGTAGTAGTAGTAGTAGTAGTAGTAGTAGTAGTAGTAGTAGTAGTAGTAGTAGTAGTAGTGGTGGTGGTGGGTGGTGGTGTGGTGGTGGTGGGTGGTGGTGGTGGTGGTGGTGGTGGTGGTGGTGGTGGTGGTGGTGGTGGTGGTAGTAGTGTAGTAGTAGTAGTAGTAGTAGTAGTAGTAGTAGTAGTAGTAGTAGTAGTAGTAGTAGTAGTAGTAGTAGTAGTAGTAGTAGTAGTAGTAGTAGTAGTAGTAGTAGTAGTAGTAGTAGTAGTAGTAGTAGTAGTAGTAGTAGTAGTAGTAGTAGTAGTAGTAGTAGTAGTATAGTAGTAGTAGTAGTAGTAGTAGTAAACCGGCCTCCAGGCCGGGGGGACCCGAGCCCCACGGACCGGCTTCCAGGCCTGGGGGCCCCGAGTCAAGGGGACCGGCCTCCAGGCCGGGGGGGGCCCAGCGGACCGGCCTCCAGGCCGGGGCTCTTCCCTATCGCCTTGGCGGCGCATTCCTGTTTGGTTCCATGCGCGTTTGTGTTCCTTCACTGTCACGAGGATCGCGCCCGACAGAAAGCTCCAGCTGCAGCTCCAGCGAGAGCTACCCCAGCTGGTTCTTCGCCGTTCCTCTCTCTCCCCAGCCGGTTCCACGGACCCAGGGTGCTAGCGGACCGGCCTCCAGGCCAGGGTGCTATAGCGGACCGGCCTCCAGGCCAGGGTTCTTCATTCATGTCGGCGCCCCTCCTCATACTTCTTCTGCTCCTCCTCACCCTCCCGCTCTCTTCTTGAGCGCTTCTCCTCCTCCTTACTTCTTTTGCTCTTCAACTTCCTCCTCCTGGTCGTCCTTCTCCTCCTTCTCCCCTATTATCCTCTGCTGCTGCTGTTCGTCGTCGTCGTCCTCTTCCTTTTCCCGGCCTCCAGGCCAGGGGGCCCCGAGCCCCACGGACCGGCCTCCAGGCCGGGGGGGCCCCGGGCCCCACGGGCCCGCCTCCAGGCCGGGTGGCCCCGAGCCCCACGGACCGGCTTCCAGGCCGGGGGGGGGCCCAGTGGACCGGCTTCCAGGCCGGGGCTCTTCCCCATCGCCTTAGGGGCACATTCCTGGCGAGGATCGTGCCCCACTGGGAGCTCTAACTAAAGAGGGTGATCCTGTTTGGTTCCATGAGCGTTTGTGTTCCTTCACTGTCACGAGGATCGCGCCCGACAGAAATTTCCAGCTGCAGCTCCAGCGAGAGCTACCCCAGCTGGTTCTTCGCCGTTCCTCTCTCTCCCCAGCCGGCTCCACGGACCCAGGGTGCTAGCGGACCGGCCTCAAGGCCATGGTGCTAGCGGACCGGCCTCCAGGCCAGGGTTCTTCGTCCATGTCGGCGCCCCTCCTCATGCTTCTTCTGCTCACCCTCCCGCTCTCTTCTTCAGCGCTTCTCCTCCTCCCTACTTCTCTTGCTCTTCAACTTCCTCTTCGCGGTCGTCCTTCTCCTCCTTCTGGGCTACCCTTCGCAACTATTGGCAGAGACGCTGCGCACGAGGTGGTCCGGCCAATTCCGCTTGAGGCACCCTTGCAACTCAGGGCTGTTAGATGCCGCGTGCGAGATTGTCCAGCCAGGTTCGCATGAGACATCTTGGTAACCCTGGCTCAGAGTAGCCGCGCATAACGTTGTCTGGGCAGTTTCGCTTGAAACACCGTTGCAACTCTGGGCTAAGAGATGCCGCGCAAGAGGTGGTCTGGGACATCCTTTCAACGCTGGGCTCGGATATGCGGCGCGCGAGATTGTCCAGCCAGCTTCGCCTGAAACATCCTTGCAGATCCGTGCTCCGAGATGGCGCGCACGGGGTGGTCGGACCACTTTTGCCTGGCACCTCATCGCAACTCTGGGTTCGGAGATGCCGTTCACGAGGTTGTCTGGCCAGTTTTGCTTGATGTATCCTTGCAACTCCAGGTTTGGAGATGCTGCCGACGTGGTGGTCGGGCCAGCGCCGCCTCAGACCTCATCGGAATTATGGCTTCGGAGATGCCGCGCGCGAGGCTGTCCAGCTGATGATGAAGATGCTGTTGCTGATGATGACGACGATGATGATGGTGATGATGGTGATGGCGATGATGATGACGATGCTGACGATGATGTCGACGATGATGGCGATGGTGACAATGATGTCGACGATGGTGGCGATGGTGACAACGATGTCGATGATGATGGTGGTGCTGATGACGAAAAGGATGATGGTGATGGTGATGGTGATGGTGATGATGGTGATGCTGATGGGGATGGTGATGATGGTGGTGTTTGCTGCTGCTGCTGCTGATGATGATGATGATGATGATGATGATGATGATGATGATGATGATCTTACCCTCAACTCCTCCCCCTCCCCGTCCCCCTACCCTTCCCCCTGATTTCCCATGTCCTCGCTTGCCTTTTCCTTGCAGTAGTCTTGGGGAAAATTGCGTTGGGGAGGAGAAGGAGGAGGAGGAGGAAAAGTCAGAGGAGGAAGACTAGGAGGAGGAGGAGGAGGAGGAGGATAACGATGAGGGGGAAGAGGATTACGATGAGGGGGATGAGGATGTAAGATGATGATGATGATGATGATGATGATGATGATGGTTGACATTGCTTTACTGGGGATGATGACGATATTGTTGATTATGATGTTTATGACTTGATGATGGTGCTAGTCATGCTGATGATGATGACGCCTGTGGTGATCATGGTCATGATTACGACGATGATGTTCATCCTCATGGTACTTAGGATGTTGTTGGTGAATATGGTGTTCAATGCGATGATGGCACTCGTCGGCCACATATACAAACACACACGAACAAGTCGAGCAGCCCTCTTGAAACACGAGTACGTCATACAACCATGTCATTGGCACATACGCACGCGTTTGTACATCAACACCACCATTTCGTTCCCCCACACACACACACTTGTACATCACCACGCCCACTGCACAGCCACACTTTATTTCCTCTTCGTTGTGTGAGTCCTCCCCCACTAGGCTAAGCGCCAGCGGACCGGCCTCCAGGCCGGGGGGCTGTCGGACCGGCCTCCCGGCCGGGGGGCTTTCGGACCGGCCTCCAGGCCGGGGGGCTGGCGGACCGGCCTCCAGGCCGGGGGGCTGGCGGACCGGCCTCCAGGCCGGGGGGCTGGCGGGCCAGCCTCCAGGCCGGACGCGTCCGCTGCTCACATGTGCTTTGCACAGTTGGCAAGCTGTGCAAAACACATGTGAGCTGTTCTTTCTGCTGTTTTTGACAAGGAACTTCGCCACAAGATTCCGTGGACGACCTTAAGGGACACCATCGGGAAACTCCCGGCCTGGAGGCCGGTCCGTTCGCACCGGCCCCGGCCTGGAGGCCGGTCCGTTGCCTAGTAGTAGTAGTAGTAGTAGTAGTAGTAGTAGTAGTAGTAGTAGTAGTAGTAGTAGTAGTAGTAGTAGTAGTAGTAGTAGTAGTAGTAGTAGTAGTAGTAGTAGTAGTAGTAGTAGTAGTAGTAGTAGTAGTAGTAGTAGTAGTAGTAGTAGTAGTAGTAGTAGTAGTAGTAGTAGTAGTAGTAGTAGTAGTAGTAGTAGTAGTAGTAGTAGTAGTAGTAGTAGTAGTAGTAGTAGTAGTAGTAGTAGTAGTAGTAGTAGTAGTAGTAGTAGTAGTAGTAGTAGTAGTAGTAGTAGTATGAGTAGTAGTAGTAGTAGTAGTAGTAGTAGTAGTAGTAGTAGTAGTAGTAGTAGTAGTAGTAGTAGTATGGGGCCCCTACCACCACGCGGGCCCCGTCGGAGCTCACGGCCACCGAATAACCGAAACGGTGGTTTGTGTCCCCATCACTCGCCACAAGCTTGAGCAACTGCGCGCCGCTGGTAGCCTGGCGCCTGCCGAACTCGGCCTGCGGCTCGCGAGGGCGACCGCTCGCCGAGCCCTCCAGCCTCGGGCGGGCCAGCGCCCCGCTCGCCGGCGACCCGGCGCTCGGGGCGCCGCGCGCTACCAGCAGCAGGAGCAGCGCGCCGACGCTGTGAGACGTGCGAAGGCGCAACATGCCGTCTGCAGATGTGCAAAACTGATGGAAACGAGAGACGCCCGAAGGGAGCCCTGGGAGGCCGGCGACGGCCCCTCGGAACCTTGAGCCATAATTGTTACGGACCTTCAGCTTTTGGTACTGTTCTTTCCCAACCCTCCTTGGTTGGGTATTCGTTTTGAATAGAGCAGTGTGGTCTCCACTCCTTCCTTCCTTCCCGCCTCCCTCTTGCCTCCTCCTGTCTTCTCTGCGGGGGGCTGCGATCTGTGAAACTGTCGCCACTTTCGAGGCTTGCTGGGGGGCCCATCACAGTGACGCCACGGGCGGATTCAAATTAGACCTCGCCATCCCTGGGGGGCTGAGTTCTGTGAAACTGTCGCCACTTTCGAGGCCTGCTGGGGGGCCCAGCACAGTGACGCCACGGGCGGATTCAAATTAGACCTCGCCATCCCTGGGGGGCTGCGATCTGTGAAACTGTCGTCGCTTTCGAGGCCTGCTGGGGAGCCCAGCACAGTGACGCCACGCGCGGATGCAAATTAGACCTCGCCATCCCTGGGGGGCTGCGACCTGTGACACTGTCGCCACTTTCGAGGCCTGCTGGGGAGCCCAGCGCAGTGACGCCACACGCGGACCCAAATTAGACCTCGCCATCCCTGGGGGGCTGCGATCTGTGAAACTGTCGCCACTTTCGAGGCCTGCTGGGGGGCCCAGCACAGTGACGCCACGGGCGGATTCAAATTAGACCTCGCCATCCCTGGGGGGCTGCGATCTGTGAAACTGTCGCCACTTTCGAGGCCTGCTGGGGGGCCCAGCACAGTGACGCCACGGGCGGATTCAAATTAGACCTCGCCATCCCTGGGGGGCTGCGATCTGTGAAACTGTCGCCACTTTCGAGGCCTGCTGGGGGGCCCAGCACAGTGACGCCACGCGGACCCAAATTAGACCTCGCCATCCCTGGGGGGCTGCGATCTGTGAAACTGTCGCCACTTTCGAGGCCTGCTGGGGGGCCCAGCACAGTGACGCCACGGGCGGATTCAAATTAGACCTCGCCATCCCTGGGGGGCTGCGATCTGTGAAACTGTCGCCACTTTCGAGGCCTGCTGGGGGGCCCAGCACAGTGACGCCACGCGCGGACCCAAATTAGACCTCGCCATCCCTGGGGGGCTGCGATCTGTGAAACTGTCGCCACTTTCGAGGCCTGCTGGGGGGCCCAGCACAGTGACGCCACGCGCGGACCCAAATTAGACCTCGCCATCCCTGGGGGGCTGCGATCTGTGAAACTGTCGCCACTTTCGAGGCCTGCTGGGGGGCCCAGCACAGTGACGCCACGCGCGGACCCAAATTAGACCTCGCCATCCCTGGGGGGCTGCGATCTGTGAAACTGTCGCCACTTTCGAGGCCTGCTGGGGGGCCCAGCACAGTGACGCCACGCGCGGACCCAAATTAGACCTCGCCGTCCCTGGGGGGCTGCGATCTGTGAAACTGTCGCCACTTTCGAGGCCTGCTGGGGGGCCCGGCACATGACGCCACGCGCGGACCCAACTTAGACCTCGCCATTCCTGGGGGGCTGCGATCTGTGAAACTGTTGCCACTTTCGAGGCCTGCTGGGGGGCCCAGCACAGTGACGCCACGCGCGGACCCAAAGTAGACCTCGCCATCCCTGGGGGGCTGCGATCTGAGATCCCCGCTTTCGAAGTGGCTAGGGTTGCTCAGGGATTGTAACTAATCAGCTTTATCTAGTCCTTGTCCTGTAGCCAGTGTCCTGCGAGTCTCCCGAATTCCGTCTGCAGACAGATGTAACCCTCGCTCCGTCATCGCCCCCCTTATAAAGTATCCTAAACTATTTGCGCCCCGCGTTTGCGCAGGGGTTGGGTACGTCGCCAGGGTAATTCCCAACCGTCATGTGGTGTTGGGTCATCGTTTTGGGGGTGCCCGCATGCGGTTCCCCCGCCCAGGGCAGCGTTTCGTGCCCATAGGGAGCTCCACCGAAGGCCCCAGTGGGGGTGCCCGCATGCGGTTCCCCCACCCAGGGCAACGTTTCGTGGCCTCCTAGGGAGCTCCACCGTGGGCCCCAGTGGGGGTGCCCGCATGCGGTTCCCCCACCCAGGGCAGCGCTTCGTAGCCCCATAGGGAGCCCCACCAAAGGCCCCAGTGGCGGTGTCCGGATGCGGTTCCCCCACCCAGGGCAGCGTTTCGTAGCCCCATAGGGAGCTCCACCGAAGGCCCCAGTGGGGGTGTCCGCATGCGGTTCCCCAACCCAGGGCAGCGCTTCGAGGCCTCATAGGGAGCTCCACCGAAGGCCTCAGTGGGGGTGCCCGCATGCGGTTCCCCCACCCAGGGCAGCGCTTCGTAGCCCCATAGGGAGCTCCACCGAAGGCCCCAGTGGGGGTGCCGCATGCGGTTCCCCCACCCAGGGCAGCGTTTCGTGGCCCCATAGGGAGCTCCACCGAAGGCCCCAATGCGGTTTCGTAGCCCCATAGGGAGCTCCACCGAAGGCCCCAGTGGGGGTGCCCGCATGCGGTTCCCCCACCCAGGGCAGCGTTTCGTAGCCCCATAGGGAGCTCCACCGGAGGCCCCAGTGGGGGTGCCCACATGCGGTTCCCCCACCCAGGGCAGCGCTTCGTGGCCCCATAGGGAGCTCCACCGAAGGCCCCAGTGGGGGTGCCCGCATGCGGTTCCCCAACCCAGGGCAGCGCTTCGTGGCCCCATAGGGAGCTCCACCGAAGGCCCCAGTAGGGGTGCCCGCATGCGGTTCCCCCAACCCATGGCAGCGTTTCGTGGCCCCAGAGGGAGCTCCACCGAAGGGCCTAGTGGGGGTGCCCGCATGCGGTTCCCCCACCCAGGGCAGCGTTTCGTGGCCCCATAGGGAGCTCCACCGAAGTCCCCAGTGGGGGTGCCCGCATGCGGTTCCCCCACCCAGGGCAGCGTTTCGTAGCCCCACAGGGAGCTCCACCGAAGGCCCCAGTGGGGGTGTTCGCATGCGTCTCCCCTACCCAGAGGTAGCGCCACCGAAAACGATATTCATATTTGCGGTCTTCACAACTGCATGTGGTTGGGTCCTTCGCCAGGCTAATTTTCCAGAAGAACTCCCCCTGGCGCTTCGGCCCGTCCCGCCGGCCACCCGAAAGGGAGCTCCAGGAGCTCAATCCCAGAAGAATCCCCCAAGACGGCTCAAGATGGCCTCCAAAAAGGCCTCCAAGTCTGCCCAAGATGGTCCAAGATGGCCTCCAAGACGGCCCGAGAGAGTCCAAGATGCCTCCAGTTCGTCCAAGAAGCCTCCAAGACGCCAAGATCGCCCAGGAGCCCTTCAAGATGCCCCCATGACAGCTCAAGAGGCCCCCCAAGAGGGCCCAAGAAGGCCCCGACGGCCCAAGAGGCATCCAAGACGCCTAGGCTGCCTCGAAGACCGCCCTGACACGCTATGAGGGCCCGAAGTCGGCTCCGAGAGGCCTCAAAGACGGTGTCGGACGGCGTCAGATGGGCCAGGAACGCTCTAAGACGACCAAAGACTCCCTCGAAGAGCTCCCAGAGGTCCCCAAGAAGGCCAAGGAGGCCTCCCGAGAAGCATTCAAAAGGTCGAAAGGAAGTTCCAACAAAGCACCCAGAGCCCCAAAGTGCCCCAAGAAGCTTTCAAGCATTTCCTGTACCCTCCTGCTGTTCCCCCCCTCTCCTTCTCCGTCTCTTTTTCCCCCCAAGTGCTCCCCGAAGGTGTCGAGGCGAGACTCGGGGAATACATGGTCCGATGGCTTGGTCAAGCTTCGCCTCCAACAACGCCCAAGATGCACCAAACACTGCCTCCATCGAGTGGCTCCGATTAGTTCCTCATGCTACTTTCTGGTCGCCGAGTAAACAATGCAGTCTGTCGTCCCACCAAGTTTGTGCAAATGATATACTTCAGCGCCATCGCACAAGAAGGCCAAGGAGGCCTCCCAAGATGGCCCCAAAAAGCCCCAATATAGCCCCAAAATGGCTTCCAAGACACTCCCAAGATGCCTCCAAGACTGCAAAGATGGCCCAATTAAACCCTCGAGAGGCCTCCTCCTCCCTTCTGCTGGTCATGCTGTACATGCTGATCATGCTGCTCATGTTGCTCATGCTGATCATGCTGTTCATGTCTATCATGCGGTTCGTGTGTATCATGCTGTTCCTGATGATCATGCTGCTCGTGTCTATCATGCCGTTCATACTGATCATGTTGGTCATGATTTCCTGCTAGACGATGACTGCTGGCTAGGGGCTCTTGTTCACGAGACTGTCTCTGGACATAATCGTAATCATGATGCTGTTGTGGTGCTGAAGCTTGCTTGCTAATGGCATGTTCCTCTTGGGGCTCCTTGGAGGCCGGTGCTCTCGGGCGCGAAATATAATATGGGATACGCCAGGCCAGGGAGCAGGAAGCATTGTCATCATTAGCCTGACGAAGGACCCAACCATGTGCAGTTGAGAGTACCGCATTGTGGGAACCGGTTCCGGTGAAGCTCCTATGGGGCCACGAAACTTGTGAGGAGTGCGCCGAAATTGGTGGCACGGACGCATGTGGACACCGCCACTGGGGCCTTCGGTGTAGCTCCCTATGGGGCCACGAAACGCTGCACTGGGCGAGGGAGACGCATGCGAACTGCGCCATTGGGACCTTCGCTGGAACTCCTTATGGGGCCACGAAGCGCTGTCATGGGTGGGGGAGACGCATGCGAACCGCGCCTCTGGCGCCTTCGGTGGAGCTCCCTATGGGGCTACGAAACGCTGCCCTGGGTGGGGGAACCGCATGCGGGCACCCCCACCGGGGCCTTCGGTGGAGCTCCCTATGGGGACACGAAGCGCTGCCCTGGGTGGGGGAACCGCATGCGGGCACCCCCATTGGGGCTTTCGGTGGAGCTCCCTATGGGGCTACGAAACGCTGCCCTGGGTGGGGGAACCGCATGCGGGCACCCCCACTGGGGCCTTCGGTGGAGCTCCCTATGGGGCTACGAAGCGTTGCCCTGGGTGGGGGAACCGCATGCGGGCACCCCCACCGGGGCCTTCGGTGGAGCCCCCTATGGGTCTACGAAACGCTGCCCTGGGCGAGGGAGACGCATGCGAACTGCGCCATTGGGACCTTCGCTGGAGCTCCGTATGGGG